TCCCCCTACTGGTTTACCTCATGATGCCTATACCGCCTCTATAGACGAAAAACAAAAAAAAAAGTGACTTTTCTGGACTAAAGACATCTCCATAAAGACCCTCCGCCGCCGGTCTTCCTCCATAACCCCTGACACAGGCCATATGAAATCTCAACATAACCCACATAACCTTACAAACAGTCCATGCGTCTCGCCCACGAGTGGTTTCGTCAATCCGTCCGCTGCCATATCCTTTGTCCCACAGTACTTCATCAATACATCCTTGCCGTCCTCAATAACTTCCCTGATTCTGTGAAAACAAACTCCGATGTGCTTCGAGTGAGGTTTATAGGTGACATCATGAAAGGTCGATAGGGACGCCTGGTTGTCATTGTAGAGCGTACTCGGTGGCAGTGGTAATCCCGTAATCTCAGTGGTGAGGTTTCGAAACCAGATGAGTTCTTGTATGGCTGATGCGCTGGCAATAAACTATGCGTCGGCGGTGCTAGTCGCGGTGATTGATTGGCGTTTGGAGTGCCATTGAACAATAGCGTCGCCGATACGGAGCATGTATCCTGTCTTAGACTTCAGGGATTGTGCGTCTCCGGCAAAGTCTGCGTCGACGAATCCTGATAATGCAACCTCCGAGTCCGTCGTACAATCTCCCCCAAGGCTGAGCCGGAGATGCGCCGTTCCTGCCAGATAGCGGAAAACCCTCTTCGCACAAACCCAGTGGTGTTGCGAGGGATCATGACCAAGTCTCCCCAAATATGAGACTAAGAACGTGACGTCGGGACGTGTTCCAGTAGCGATCCATTCCAGACTCCCGATCAGTTGTTGGTAGAGTGACTTGTCACACCGTTTCTCATGTATCTTACGTGCGTGCGGTTTGTCTCGATCCATCGGAGTGCTGACAGAATTGCAGTCTTTCATTCCGAATCTGGCGAGAACCTGCCGTATGTATCCTTCCGGTGTCACGTAGATCTTCCGTTCCTGTAGATCTCGAGTGACTACCATTCCCAAGAAGTGTTTAACTGGACCTAAATCCACCATTTCGAATTGCGTCTCCAGCTTCCCGCGTATGCGTCTGACGTTGTGCTGCTGTCCAGCGATGAGGAGATCGTCGACGTATAGAGCCACGATTGTGCCGTTGGTATGGGTATAGATACAGCAATCGAACCTACCACGTCGAAAGCCGAGCTGCGAGACCAAGTAGCTGTCAATCGTTGTATACCAGCATCGGGGCGACTGCTTCAGACCATACAAACTGCGATTCAGCCTCGCCAGTCTGGGTCCGCCCAAGACGCCTAGAGGCAGATTCATGTAAACTTCCTCTGCCAGTTTGCTTCCCAGAAACGCCGTAACGACATCCATCTGATGTACCGCATACCCGCGCGCTCCTGCTACTGCTAATACCACCCTGACGCTTGAGAGACTCGCGACAGGCGCAAATGTCTCCGTAAAGTCGAGACCCTGTATCTGCCGAAACCCTTGTGCCACCAGTCTGGCTTTGTGGCGTACGGTTTCGCCTTCCGGGTTGAGTTTCCGCTGTAGGATCAACTTTGTAGGAATTGCTTTCTTGCCTTCTGGCAACTTGTCAACGAACGTGAGAACCTTGTTCTTGACCACTGAGGCGCATTCGGAGTCGACGGCTGCCTTCCACTGAGTTGCCCCGTCTGATTTCATCGCTGCTTTGTAGTTCCTAGGCCCAGCTTCTACCATGTAGACCGTAGAAACCATTGCGTCCGTCATAGCGCTAGAGCTCTGTCCGTTCCGCCGACTACGTGTCTGACGTCCCTCCTGTACGTCTGCAAGCTCCCCCAGTTCCATGTCCCAGTATGCGCTCTCGCCTGCTGCCTCAAGTTCTTGCAACATTCGCGGTTTCTTCTTGACAACAACCTCAGGCTGCGCGGGGATCCCAACACCAGGTACTTCGCCGTCGTCATCGTCATTTTCTTCATTTTTTCCACCAGTACCTGCTTCAACTGGTAGTCTCTCGTCCAGCTCGTCGAATTCATCGTCCCAAGCCAGGTGTTCCTCCCATGGATCGATCGGTGGGGCGTAGTAAGGCCGCTGGTAGGCTTCCCCAGTAGACTCTGTTGGATAATACGATTCTGATTCAGCGAACACGACATCGTGGGAAAAAAGAAACTGCTTCTTCCGTGGATTGTAGAGTCTGTACTGCTTCGTCGTGCTAGAGTAACCGACAAACATACATTTCCTCGCTGTCTCGTCCAACTTCTTCCGAGTCTCCTTTGGTATTTGTGCATATGCCACGCAGCCCCAAACTCGTAGATGATCGTAGGTGGGTTTCTGTCCGAACCACCGTTCGTAGGGAGTCTCTTTCTCGGGCAAGGCCCGCGTCAGTAGTCTGTTGCGAATGTAAATCGCCGTCATAGCCGCTTCCCCCCAGAACTCTTTGGGTGCTCCAACGGCGTAGAGAAGGGCCCGCATAGTACCGATGATCATCCTGTTTCCGCGTTCACTCACACCGTTCGACTGAGGTGTGTATGGAGTTGTTCGTTGAGCCTCTATCCCCTCTTGCCTTAGGAGATAACAGAACTCGTTGGAGGTGTACTCCCCCCCTCCGTCCGTGCGCAATTTCTTGATCGTTGTTCCGTGATGCTTTTCTGTAAAAGCCTTGTAGTTCTGAAAGCATGCCAATGCTTGTGACTTCCGCTTGATCAGATACCCTACTTTGAACTGTGTGTAGTCGTCGGTGAACATCAGAAGGTAGACTGCTCCCCGCAACGATACAGGTGTAACCGGTCCCGTAATGTCGCTGTGAATTAGCTCCAATGGTTGGGACGCTCGCGAGGTTGAGGGCACAGATGGGAAAGGCTTCCGGACCATCTTGCCATACACGCAACCTATACAGATACATCGTGGAATCACAGGCATCCGTGGGATCCCGTGTTCCTCCAGTGACAGCCTTCTTACTGCATCGTTCCCCAGATGTGCCAGCCGGAAATGCCAGAGTGCCGCACGCTTGTCAGCCGGCATCTCTTGTACATTCGACTCTATTCCTACCGCTAGAGCTTTTCCGCAAGCCCCAGCCGTCTCAGTGCGAAGGACGTAGCCCCCGTTAACTTCTTCCAAGTTAATTTCCAGTCCGTCGTCACGCTCCAGGGAGGCACCCTCCTCCTTGTTAAAGTCCACGTAGAAGCCAGACTTCCGGAGCTGCGATACTGACAATAGGCTGTTCCTTCCACACTCTGGTACGTGGAGTACCCCTTTGACAAACAAACGCTGCTGTTTCTTGCGTTTTCTGTCCCACACTGAGAGCGTAACATCGCCCTCCCCCAAAGCATCAATCTCGGTATTGTTGGCTACCCGAATGCGATGCGCGCCTGGAGATACTGGTGTATATCGTGTAAACTGTTCTTTCACGCCGGTAACGTGAGTACTGCAGCTGCTATCCAGCAGCCATTGGCAACTTGTGGAGACGAAGTGCGAGGACATAATCGCAGTAAATATGGGTTTGGTTATCGCTTCGTCGCCGTCGTGCGGTGCCTGCGCCAGGGTATTGACATTGTCCCTTGCAAGTCCTTTCATCCGCTCGGCTTTCAACTTCCTGCAATCGATCTTACGATGCCCCTTCTTCTGGCAGTAATAGCAGGTCAAGGACTCGTCTGCCTCAGCCCGCCTGATGCCACCACCGCTACTCCTGACTTCTCCCCTGTAGCCCCCAGCCTTTCTCCTGTAGGTTTTGCCTCCCACAGCGAGAACGGTGTCACTGTTCGCCTCCCGATCCCTATTCATGCTCGTCTCCCGAGCTTTGATCGCTGCGATGAGTTCGTCTGGCTGGTCCGGTTTTATAATAGTCGCTTGCAAGTCACGCCACTTGTGCCAGGATGCGGGCAAGCCATTCAAAAGGTAAAAGATTCTCTCCGGAGGTTTGATAACCTCTCCTCAGGCTGCCTCTCGTAGACATTCGATGATGCGGTCGAGTTTGTGGACGTATTGGGCTGCCGTCCCACGGGCGTCGAGCGTGCAATCGAAAAGAGACCGCCGAAAGTAGTACAACTCTAAACCCAGAGCCTTCCTGTACCCCTCAGCCAATTTATCCCATAGGCCCTTTGGATCCTCGTCGTAATCATCCGAGGCGTACTGAGCGCATATGTGTGGCTCCATTGCGTTCCGGATCTTCGCCGTAATCCTGAAGCATTTCCTGAGCCATTTATCATAAGCCAGAACGTCTGCTGGTTCTGTGCTATCCTTGTCTGGTGCCTTCTCACGACCGGAGATGATCCACCATAAGTCGAGTTCCTTGAGCTGATCGGACATCCTCTGCCTCCATGGGCCAAAATTCGAGTCACCTAAGAGCGGAAAGGTAACGCGCCCCACTTGCGATGAGTCTAGAATCTGCGACATCCTGTAGATTTAGACAGCCTGCAATTGGTACAGCCTGAAGAGAAAACGAGAACAGAAAGTGGTTTGCGACCGAAAAAAAAGAGACAAAACAAATCCGTGAGAAAGGTCCAGCAAAATCCCACAGTGTTGATAACCGTGTGCCGAACGAGCTATTTTCGTAGATCGTTAAGTGTCGAAGACACAAAGGCTCATAACCTGATAGCACCGGTGTGCGTGGTGGAGAGAGGATGGGAACTTGATGTATTTCCTAGCTACGAACGTTGCTATCTAAGTGAATACATGAATGCCAAGCCGTGATGCCCACTGTGCTCACCAACCCTAACGTCCGTCCGTGAGGTAACCCCAGTACTACATACCACGTGCTAACAAGTTTAAGGAAATTATTTTTCCGAAGGACAGACGCATACTAGCGGGGGCAGGGGAAGATTTAGGAGTGGAAGTAGTCTTAAGAGTCCAGAACAGATAATTCAGAATGGTGGGTTTGTCCTATTTTTATTCTACTCACACCCTATGTTACTCGTAATACAATGTTCTCCTTCTGGGCTGACGAGATCTTCTAGGATGTCGCACAATTGTTCCACTCGCCTGTACTGTCAATTGTCCTAAACATTTTACTGATCATGTCCAACAATGGTTTACTTTATCCATTTTCACACAACTTCAACCAAGGTCACAAAACACAATTCGTCGTCAACTGTTTACATATTACCTACCATCTCGAAAAGAGTTCCCACATCCTCATTGACTTCTCAGACATACAGTTACATACTAAATGTGAATTTTCCCCTTGAATTCAAGGGGCTTCTTTCTGCTAACCGTTCTCCAGGTAAATTTCTTCAAGTTCTCACTCGACCACACCTGCCTTCAACTCGTTCATCTCCTGGAGGTCCGGTTACCACGCATAGATCATACCGTCCACCTCTGCCGCTTCACAAAGCACCCCACCTTCAGTTGCAAATAGGCTGAGGTTGCTAACAACTGCCTCCGTATCATTCAACCTATGTCTCGCAATTGGATCGTCTAAGGCGGTCGGCCTCAGGTATTTGTGGCACCGTATTGATCCTTTCAGCGCATGAGCAATTTTCGCCGTTCTGTTGGGGACGCGGTTTACGTTGTTAGAATAGCCGACTTGACTATCCAGAAGTTGCTGGAGGAATCGAAGGATACTGAGAGCGGAGACTTGAGAATTGAAGAATTTAGAAATATATAGTTGGAGCAAGCGCACGACCTACCCGGATAGCCCCCGAAAGCCTCAAACAGGTACAAGAGGGTCAGGAGCATTAAAGATGATGGAGAAGTCATTGAGGATCCCCGGAATATCACTATTGTCACTGCTCCTGTAGATCTAAGTACCGCTCCCAGCACCCCCCCCCCCGGGACTCCTCCTAGTGCTCCTCCCAGCGCCCTAACACTACTTACACTTCCCGATAAACCCCTCAGACTGGACGCAGACGGCTTCGTAATCCTAGAACTCCCCCTCTCTTCGCCGCTCCCGATCTCCTCACTCCCCGGAACATCAATCAATTTCATTGGCCCCCCCACACCGCGAGGTGTCTAAAAGCCCCAAGGTACCCGGCACTCTACCATAGCGGAGGAAGTAATCGAATCCGAGATCGCCTCTCTACTAGATGGCTCTACCGTATCAATAATGGAAGAGCTCTGAGAGGCAGACCGCCAAGTGGGCGCCAAGGGGGCAAAGAATGTGCCGCCTGTGATAGGCGGGTTGAGTTGGCTTACCTTGCGATTGTAATGGGGTGGGTACTAGAGCTCATGTGACTACGTGGCTGTGGTTCCACTTTCAAGGGGAGTCTCAGTAGGGCAATGACCTATGCCATGAGTATCAATTGGACGTTCAGGATCAAAGTGGAGGTTAAGCGAGAGCACTTGATGGCGTGGCTGGGCGATGGGGAGCAGTACGTGAGGGATATTATCATGGATGAGGAAAGAGCTTGTAAGTGGTTAGATGGGAAGGAGATCATGAAGGTCTGGCTCTGTCTAATGGGAAGGTGGATAACCTGACGACTAGATCGGTCAGCCCGGCAACAAAGGGGTCCCCCAGCAGATATCTAGGAGCAGCTATCATGGATTATCACTTTAGGGCTAGGCTACATTGCTATTTCAAAAGGGTATAAACTGTAATTAAATTGGTTCAAGAAGAACTCTGCTCGTTGTATGATATTCTAGAAGGCCTCATCGCTCTCTTTGAATATATCGTAGACAGTATCATACCGTCATGTGTTGGCACACCTCGTTCAATTACGAGTACATGCGCCAATGCCCTTTGAAAAGGCAGCATCAACGTTATCCCCTGTGTTGCCCTGCTGAGGCCATCCCGTAGCAGGTGCCCACCCATGGCGTGGAGACGCGAGGATACTTAAGGCCTGTTGTCCTCTCGTCCAATCCCCCTCCTTCCCCTTCTCATTCTCAACCTCCTTCATTCCTCTCCGCCGTATTCTCCGCTCTCCATTCAACTCCACACTTCATATCTCCTCCTTTACCATGCCTCGCTATCTACTCCATGCTCAGGCAGCTTTGAGTCTGCGCACCCCCCGACACCGCCGAACGCTCACGCATGATACTCTCCTATGGGCCAGTGATCGCCTAATAGTAAACTCTTTCATCTCTCCTGATTCATCTGACGATGAGTGTGATAGTGGGACAGAATCCCACAGTTAGACACACGCTTGCTACATGTCGAACGGGGCGTGTTCGAGCTCGGAAGGGTTGCTTGCCCCGATACGTTTGGTTTGGCTTGAAGTCTACTGACCCTCTAATAGGACCCTCTAATAGGACCTTGCCATTTTCAAGACTGAGTCTCGGATGGGGTTCAAACAAATGTGGAATCAGATCAGGGTAGTTAACTAGCTCATGGCTGCTGGATGCACGGGGATTTTTAGCCTTTTGGGGGTAGGTCATCAATAAATTTTAATACTTACTTTCTAACGAAATTCATTATAGTTGGGAGTGCCGGTGGCTTAAGAAGCGGTGAGACCCAGGGTGCCACATGCGTTCCGGACCTTGAGCTCTACTGTGAGTTGCATTGAGATTAGCGTTCGTTACGGGGCGGGGCGGGGCAAGTTTTGGATACTCACCCCGCCCCGCTCCCCGTACGGGGATCCTCACAGCCCCCTGCATGTCCTCCCACCCATATTATTTGGTGAGAGTAGGAACGGGGTCCCGCATAGGGGGTAGGTGGGGCGGGGACCCGTATAAGGGCGGGCTTTGGGGAAGCGGAAATGATATGCCCCGCCCCGGGCCAATTATCGGGGTGGGAACCGGGGCCGAGGGCCCGCTACTTTCGGGGACCCGGAGGCTCTGTAACGAACGCTAGTTGAGATACTGCTTGTAATTATTTTGCTAACATACTCTTAGGCAACAGAGGCGAACGGTAGTGGTGGCGACTAAAAGGAAGAAAAAACAAGCAGTATTAGAGATTTTGGGCAGTGAGACCTAGGTGGTGATAATATAAGTTAACAATAAGGCTTGGCCACCTGGCTCTTTAGTCCCACCTGGTCGAGGTGTAAAAACCCGAAAATCAGACCTGGAGTTGAGGACCACAAATGCCCACTCGAACTGCACTTTTATGCCTCTATTCAGGTATGATTTTGTGGCTATCCTTCTCAAGCACAATCCTGAGAAGAGAAACTTCATGAAAGTTAAGAATTGGCTGATGTATTGACCTCTTAAATATATGGAATTTAAGAAACTCAACAATTGTCGGGAGTCTGATGGGCTGTTGATGCGAGTGGCAACCCCTAGTGACACCGTTAATAACTCCCACCTAGGTCTCCCTGCGCAAACTCTCTATTGCCTGCAAAAAAAGAACGAAACCGAAAAAACTTTTATTTTTGATTTGAGCATATGTGGCCTTTTTTCTTATCATGCGGATCCTTTCCCGGTGCTGGGGAGTGGCGGGGGTAGACGTGTGGCATAAATAGATTAATAGATTTTAGTTGGAATTTCACATTGTGGAGCACCAATCCACCCAGAAATTGAACCGGTGCCGTATGATGATGTGTTCATGAGCTTCTGTTATGATTCCTCCTTCTGCTTTACAGTCAACATTCAGAAAATAAAAGTCCCCCATGTAGTGTTGTTAACTATATTCATAGAGAACGATGAGGCCTTCTAGCATATCATACACTAAGCAGAGCTTTTCCAACAACCCATCTAAATACTGCCCATTTTCCAAAGACCAGTACATGTATTAGGAGAACTTAGCTCAGAGTAACAGAAAGAGAACCCAAGAAAAACCCCAGATAAAACAAAGCCCAAAGAAAATACACATGTGTCCAGCGCCAAACGCATATCTGATCAGGGTTCCGAATGGTCGGCGATGGACTGGACTGGACTGGGTAGTATAGTCGAAAATCGGTCTAGTCCTATGAGAGATTTCAGACTGACCGGGCAGTCAAGGTTCAGGACTGGACTGCTTGGGGATTGGTCAGACCAAGGGGACCGAGTAATAAAATGTGCACGGCCCTTACGCAAAACCACAGCCCTCATGCTAGTAGATCTTTCAGCTTCTGATAGGCTGTCTCAAAGTAGATGTTTGTTTTGAATTTGTGGAAGGCCAAGTGAGCAGATGGTGGATGGGCCTAGTCCATACGGTTGGTGGAGAAATTGATATAAAAAGGTGTCTATGGTGATATTTGTAGAGTATCGGTGTCCCTACTCAAGGCACGGTTTGGTGACAATTCCTTCCCTTGTTTGGCTCCCATGCAGGTTTAATTGGAAAAAAAAAGGCTAATTATCAATAGCTTTCAATATAGCGCAGTTATCAGGTGTTAATTGCGGTTCAATGAATAACTAGAACAAAGCTCACAAGGAGTCACTGAGAATCACTTGTTATCGCTACCGTCAGCTTAGCCCATGGAGAAGAATCAGTCCCGAACCACAACTACTTGCCTCTGCCCATCCACCCTCCACTCTCTCCAATTTCTCTACAAGTTCCATTGGTAGCTGCATTCAGGTGCAGCCACGTTTGTTGAACTCAATGCGAGGTCCTCATTTGGAAGCAAATATTCCGCTGTCAAACTCGCTTAACCCTAGTAAGTCTCGTTCTCCAATTTCGTTTAACCATGTAACTTCTGTTTTAAAAGCTTTACCCATGTTGAAAATCTGACATGGATGCTAAACTAGAACTCAATCAAGTTAGTACAAATACTAGTAAATACGATCCACTTTCCCCAGCCGCAACAGCCTTTTCATCCCAGCCAACACTGCCTACCTGGCGGGAACATCAACAACAATTTGCTACCCCTATCAACAACAATTTGCTCCCCCTATCGACACTCAATGTCTACCCATATCAAGTAGTGTGTTGACATCTATTGATAGTTCATTCTTTGAAGAGAACAGGATTCATCCCACTGGGAACCAGAACGAATCCTCCTCCAGCTATTTTGCTCTACAATTCTCGCCTGCACTAGTGTAACGACCCTACGAAATAGAGCTATGGCAACCTAAGTCTATGCCCACACATAAGACCAAGAGGTCAAAGGGTAGACTAGGAGGACATCTTAAAGCATGTCCAAGGGATATTGTAACCGGAGCTGGTACTCAGTTAGTTTGTTTTATGTTTTGTTTTAAGTATCGGTTGATACTTAGTTTGTTTTATGTTTTGTTTTAAGTATCAGTTGATACTTGGTTATTTTTATGCCTTGATTGAGTAAGAACATGAGTGAGAATTCATGATCAGACTCAAACACATGTACTTAAAAAGACCGCTGTCGTCCACTCTGGAAACGGCAGACTTCGACAAACAGTATTTTAATATACTTGGTTGAACGGTTATCTTTATTCTCCTATTATGCCACCAAAGCCTCCCTTAGCGAGCCTTGATTTGACAGTCTCCGGTAGAAGTCACCTCTCTCCTATTGTACCCGACAGCGTGATTAGCGCCCCGGCGTGAATACGTTACAGATATCCAATGGTCTGGGTATCCCATAGAACAGAAGGTACTTAAAGAATATGTGTACCTAGGAAGCCGGAATAAAGTGACTATGTCCGCTCCGACCTAAGGATAGGTCGGAAGGCCAGGTAAGTTTACCCTCTCTACGAAAGTCATGTTACCCTACCATGGAGACCAGTTTCGTGTCACCATGGACATACTTACCCTACCTGTGGGACAATATTACCCTACCTTCCGTCGGAAACGTTCTCGGAGGCATTTCGGGAACTGTTAGGATTGTTTGTCAAGCAAGG